TAGAGACGGGGTTTCACCATGTTGACCAGGATGGTCTCGATCTCTTGACCTCGTGATCCACCCGCCTCGGCCTCCCAAAGTGCTGGGATTACAGGCTTGAGCCACCGCGCCCGGCCTGTATTTCCCTTTTTCTAGTTTTCTCATTTATGAAGTAGCTTTGAGATATAATTCACATACCATACAAGCCATCCATTTAAAATGTACAATTCAATGATTTTTTTGTAGCCTATTCACCGGATTATGAAACTATCATCATAATCTAATTTTTAAAAAAAATTTTAATTTTAATATTTTGAGATGGAGTCTTACTCGGTCGCCCAGGCTGGAGTGCAGTGGCATTATCTCTGCTCACTGCAACCTCCAAATGCCAGGTTCAAGCAATTCTTCTGCCTTTGCCTCCCAAGTAGCTAGGACTACAGCCGTGTGCCACCATACCTGGCTAATTTTTTGTATTTTTAGTAGAAACAGGGTTTCATCATGTTGCCCAGGCTGGTTTCAAACTCCTGAGCTCAAGTGATCCCCCCGCCTCAACATCCCAAAGTGCTGGGATTACAGGCGTGAGCCATTGTGCCCAGCCCATGATGTAATTTCTGAATATTTTGGTCTTCCCTAAAAGAAACCCTGTTTCCATTAGCAGTCAATCACCATTTCACCCCATCTCTTCCTCAGACCTATGCAACCACAAATCTACTTTCTGTCTTAATAAATTTGCCTATTCTAATTTTTTAAATTTTCATTTTTTAGAGATAAGGTTCTTGCTCTCTCACCCAGGCTGGGGGGCAGTGGTATGGTCATAGCTCACTGCAGTCTCAAACTCCTGGGTTCAAGTGATCCTCCTGCCTCAGCCTCCCATGTAGCTGGGACCAGAGGCATGCGCCACCAGCCTGTTTAATGGATGTTTCATATAAATGGAATCCTACAATATGCGGTCTTTTATGATTTTGCCTTTTTCACTTAAATGTTATAGCATGTATTCGTACTTCATATCTTTTTATGGCTAATATTCTATTGTATGAATTTATATTTGCTTATCTGCTCATCTTTTCCATTTTTTGACTACTATGAATAATGTTGCTATATACATTTTTATACAAGTTGTATGGAAATATGTTTCCACTTCTCTTGGGTCAATAACTAGGAATGATATTTCATGGTCATATGGTAACTCTGCTTAACTTTTTAAAGAATAGCCAAACTGCTTTCTGAAATAGCTGTATTATTTTACATTCCAACTGGCTAGGTGTGAGGGTTTCCAGTTTTCTCTTGTTCCAGTCAGGTTTTCATCCCATACACTCATCAAGGTTACCAATGAACTCCTTATGGCTAAATCAACTTTTAGTGTTCTTCCTGCTTCAGCTATTAGCAGCACTTGATTCAGTTCATCTCTCAATCTTCCTTGAAACATTTCTTCATTAGGATTCTAGGAAATCAGAGCCTCCTATTTTTCTATTTTTCCTCTAACCAGCTGAGCATGCCAGCTCTTTCTCCTTCCCCATCTTCTAATCACTGGCATATGCCAAACTCAATCCACTGACCTTTTCTCTTCTATCGACTACATTCCTTCTCTTAATGATCTCACCCAATCTAACTACTGCTTATGTACATTGTCTGTAAATATATATTTACAGACTTGTACTGTCTAATACAGTAGCCAGTAGCAACATGTGGATATATAAATTTGAATTACATAAAAATAAAAATTCAGTTCCTTGGTCACATTATATACACACACATATATGTTTATATGCAAGTATATATGTTTGTGTGTGTGTGTGTGTGTGTGTGTGTATACATATATGCGGGGGTGGGGGGCGGAGTTTTGCTCTGTTGCCCAGGGTAGAGTGCAGTGCTGTGATCTCAGCTCGCTGCAGCCTCTGAATCCCATGCTTAAGCAATCCTCCCACTTTACCCTCCCAAGGAGCTGGGACAGGTGCACACCACCATGCCTGGCTAAATTTTTTATTTTTAAGTGGAGATGGGGTCTCACTAAGTTGCCCAGGCTGGCCTCAAATTCCTGGGCTCAAAACAGGAGCTACATTTTAAGAGTTTGAGGGCCACATGTGGCTAGCGGCTACTAAACTGCACAGCAAGATATAGAACATTTCTATCATTCCAGAAATTGTAATTATACAGTGCTGATCCAGACCTCTCCTCTAAACTCAAGATATATATATATGTGTGTGTGTGTGTGTGTGTGTGTGTGTATATACATACACATATATAGACATATATCATATATATACACATATATGCATATGATTGCTTTCCTGATCTCTAAATTTTGATGTCAACAAACATCTAAAAACAAAAATCCTGCGATTTCTCCCTCAAAACCTTGCTCCTTCCACTTTTTCCTATTTTAGTTTTTCTATCTCCATCTTTCTCCTTGTTCAAACCAAAAACCACGGAATAACCCTTTATTCCACTTTTACTCTACAACCAACTGATGAGCAAACTCTGTCAACTCTGTATCCAGAATCTGACAACTTCTTACAAACTTCACTTATTTTACCTTGTTTAAAGCCATCATCTTTTGCTAACCTCCTAAATGGTCTTCCTTCTTGTCCTTACCCTTCTCTAAGGTCTATTTTCAACATAACTGCTAGAGAATTCTTGCTAAATCGAAAGTTACATCATGTCATCCTCTGTTCAAAATCCTCTAACAGCTGCCCAGCTTACTCACAGCAAAAATCAAAATTGCTGTTACATCCTTAGGGCCCCATGTGATCTGACTCCAGTAACTCTGATCTCATCTCCTACAACTCCCCTTTGTATTCTCTCTGGCAGTTATACTGGCTATTCCTCAAAATCACCAAGCATATTTCAGCCTTCCCCATAAAATAGGAATCACTAACTTTAAGAATCGCTTATCCAGCAGAGTCCCATGGGGAAAAAAAATAAAAATTTAAAATAATAATAATAATAATAACAAGAATCACTAAGCTAGCTTAAAAGAGGGATTTTCTTTTTAAGCCAGTTTGCAGACATGTAGGTATTCAGAGTAATCTTCCCTTACCTAAGGTCCCTAGCTGGTAAATGGGTATTACATGATATAAATTATATTTTCTGAGAAGGATCTTTCTTCTTGGTGAAGTGGTTCATGCCTGTATTCCCAGCACTTTGGGAGGTCAAGGTAGGAGGATAGCTTGAGCCCAGGAGTTCAAGACCAGTCTAGGCAACACAGTGAAACCCTATCTCTATTAAAAAAAAAAAATTAGCTGGGCATGGTAGCATGTGCCTGTAGTTCCAGATATTCGGGAAGCTGAAGTGGGATGATCACCTGAGCCTAGGGAGGTCAAGGTTGCAGCAAGTCATGATCATGGCACTGCATTCCAGCCTAGGCAACAGAATAAGACTCTTTTCTCAAAAAAAAAAAGTCTTCTAAAGTTTGTGGTCTCAGTTTTATCACTAAGCCTAGATCTCACAAAAAATCAGTTAACTAGTTGTCTGGAATGGTAAAGACAAGAATTTTTAAAAATAAAATCTGTTTTTGTTTTGAGGCAGAGTCTCACTCCATCACCCAGGCAGGAGTGCATTTTGATCTCAGCTCACTGCAACCTCTACCTCTTGGGCTCAAGTGATTCTCCCATCTCAGACTCCAAGTAGTTGGGACTACAGGTGCACACCACCACAGCCGGCTCATTTTTGTATTTTTGGTAGAGATAAGGTTTCACCATATTGGCCAGGCTGGTCTCAAACTCCTGACCTCAAGTGATCTGTCCACCTCGGCCTTCCAAAGTGCTGAGATTACAGGTGTGGGCCACCACACCTGGCCTAAATACAAATTTAATTACTGAAAAAACTGTAAGAATATGAATTAAGATTTCCTATTTGGTAATAGTATAAATATATGAACTCTTCTTTGCCAGATTAGATTTTAAAAGGCCACAATGTGATGTACATACCTGCTCTCTAAACAAGTTCAATCAATGTAGCCAGTCTACAAACTGTATTAGTGGTCTGTTTTGAAATAAGAACCTTGGACAAGAATGCAATTCAATACATTACTTCCTTCAAGCAGAAAATTTCCCTATAAAAAATTATAGAAGACATAAACAGTATGCTTACTAACGTAAATATTTTCCATCCTAGGACAAGATTCTATCTCACTGCAGACTGATAACTAACATTTTGTACAGTGGCATATGTCCATGAATCACACTTTGAGTAGCACTGCTCTAAATCACCTCCTTTGTCTTTAATTCAAGTCTACCCAATATTTTTAAACACTTTGTATATGCAAAGTCAGCCATTCTGTGCCATCACCCATTTTACAATTTATTGGGATTAAGATGTATCTTGTTTTCTAGATGTTACCTAGATTCCTTGTGTGTATTACAGAATTTTAATGCAGACCAGAAAGAAGGCTATACCATCTAAGAACAGTAACATATTGATAAAAATTTTTAATTAGCAAATACAAAACTATAATTTTAACATAGATTGTATAATAGCACTTCAGAAAGGTGAGACTGGGTAATAAACTAGCTTTGAAAACGTTTGTATGAAGAGATATAAAATCCACTTTTCAACACCAACCTAAATATTCCATCAGCTGCTCAGCAGTTATGATTTCCATCATCGGTGGAAGTTTCACCTGAAAAACAAAACAATTCTATAAAATTAAATGTTTTAGATGACTAAAGTGTTTCTTACAGTCAGAAACACAAATACTTATGTCTATATATGTATCTACTATACATATACATTAACATTCATCAAAACCTAAAATGCAATAAAATAAATGGGAAAAAATAAAAATAAAAAA